GAAAAACATCATAGCAGAGAAGCGAATTTATTACGTTCATCGACCTGTACGCGTCCACAGATGTCAAACAGACCTAAAAAAATTATTGATCTGTGAGCACCGTAACCACGTCGTTTTAAACTAATTATACTTATCCAGTTACGAACCGTGAACGATCAACTACGAATTGGCTGCTCAGTTTACCTTTCAAGTCTTTCATAGTCAACACGCATTCCAACAGATGGGCCGCATAAGAACGCACGCCGACATCAGCCGACTTAAGAAGCTTGATGAACACCGGGAGACATTTTTGTAACTCCTCTTTTGGCAGTTGATGTCTGAACGTAACGACGTACTTCAAAGCATCCATTTTCAACATGCACAAGTCGGTTTCTGACTCAAGTTCTGGCTTCACGTGATTATTGAAAAACTCAGCAATGTTCACCAGCTCAGTGGTTTTCGTAGCCCCATATTTCGCCGTCTGTCCTCGCGAAATCAGTGACATTACAAGGTGAATGGCGGCATCTTTTCGCTGCCAATTTTGCATCGGATTCACTGCGTATTCGGTAAACAGCTGATTGATATAGGTAGAACACAGATGAATGACTGACGGCTCGAAGTATTTGCACAGAATTCTCACGAAATCACTTGCCGAACGCCTGCGTGCACTCGCATCAAAACCTTCGATGTCCTTTTGTACGTATTCCTCAGGATTGTCCTAAATACAAATTTGACATAGCGTTTTCAAAACATGAAACGCTCTCCAGAATTAAAGGACCAAATGAGAATAAATCAACATTTCAACAGAAAACAACGAAAATACAACGAATAAAACAAACAACAGATAACCTTATGCCCAACTGATATTTCTCATAAAACCATGTCACACGGGGACAAATGACAGACGTAAGATGAGATGACGGTGGCATATTGAATTTCTAGTATTGCTGTATCAGGAATCCAGCAAGCAAAGCAATCTGACTGGAGAAATCAGAAACATGAGAAAAACCTAATGAACCTAATGAACCTAATGAAGCTGTTGTTCCCAGAGCATCTTCATCCTCATTTTCCATGGCCGCTTCTCCTTTTGGGTCGTAGAGGAAGAAGCATCATAGCGTCCAACGTCGCCGCTCCTGTGCCAGATTCTGAGCTTCGGAGACGACAACTGAAGTCTGGAAGAGACTCCATCCATATATTTGCACCAGGAAGACCTTGGCCATCCCCTGGGCCTTCTGACAGTCGGTTTCGCAAGAAACAGTTCCTTAGCCGTCCTTTCTGCAAGCATTCGCAACACATGCAAAAACCATCACAGCTGTGACTTCTTAGAGTATACAAGGAGAGCCTGTACACTAAGGCTCTACTGGATATCAGTATTCCGGACCATTTCGAGACGAGTAAAACCAGCGACTCGTCTCAGAAAGTCAGTTTCTGCCGCTTGTACCCGTGTTCGAAGTTTCTAACTCAACGTCCAAGACTCATGACAACATGTAAATATGTGGATAAAGATCGACTTGAACAGCCAGATCTAAGCTTTCAGACTGAGCTCCGCTTT